ATTTCATATCTTCAGGTTCTTAGTTCTTGGAGTTATAGTATTTGTGTTCGGAGTTTTTAGGTCTTTAAAGTAATTGCAAAGTTTTGGAACGTTTGGGTGACTAAATTATTAAATTTGCGAATTGTAAAAATTCTAAAGCTTGAAATTTCTAAATTTTAACTTCACAATCCTGAAAATTTCCAGATTTTTTTAAAGTTACAAGTTTCCAATTTCTCAAGCTTTATAATTTGTCAAATTCCTCAAACACCAAATTTCTAAATCTCCAAGATTGTCAAATTCCCTAAATTCCCCAAATTCTCTGGAATCCTTTAAGTTCCCTAAATTCTCCAAATATCGAAGTTACCTAATTCCTCTTAACGCCCTAAATTCCCCAAATTTTTAAAATTTCACAAATTCAATAAATTCTTCTAAATTCCTTAAATTCCCTAAATTTCCTATATACCCAAATTTCTAAATCCCAAAAATTTTACCTATAAAAATCCCCAGATATCAGACTCTTCAAATTCACAAATCCAAAAATCTCTCCACACAATAAAAGATATATCAAATAGAATAGATGTTTGCTGAAACACCGATTTTATTAGAATATTCAGGAAGAAAGTGTTAATGATTTTTCTGGACTTTGTATCGAAACGGGTATTGAAGAGCTGGTCGTTAATTGAATTTCCTTAAAACTTCGAGATTTTAATTAAACTGGAGCTTAATTACTCTCTGCATTAAATCGCACTGACTGATACCAAAGTGCTCTTTGAGCAACGTGATTGATATTTCATGATTACCTGACTACTAATTAACCAATATGACCCATTTCTTCTTACCATGAAGTCATTTTGTACGCAAAATCATCCAATCGATTTTGTAATATTTCACAGCTACGAAACATTATCGTTCTTTTCTAATTTTACTACAACCATAGATATGAATATGTAAATGTGTCCAACTATATACTACTCGCATTGTGTCTGATCAAGTAGTAATTAAAATTAAATATTAAACAAAAATTTTAATCTCAGTTTTCAATTATTAATATTTACTTAATTGTTCGAAGTAATAAATTTAATGACGAGCGTGGGAAGTTCATTATTTGCATTCGTAATAATTTATATAGGTCAATATTGCACGTACCAGTCAATGTTTCATCATATGTTTTTTATTGCGGGAGTCAATGTCCCATGTGTTCCACATTTCCCTGTATCAGTTACTGTCTGTTAATTTTCATTGTCCTCAGTATCTGGCTATAAATATACATATCAATTTCACTGCTGTAATGAATTATAACATGCGAATGTAAATATGCAAATACTTCATTTGATTTTTCGTTTCACTGACTACTAATTGACATCATGTGTTATTGTTACTGATACTGTAATAAATATTTCAAGCACCTTTGGCCATATAACTCTTCACTAATAGCTGATCATATACGTGAACTTTCACTGTAAAGTTCATTTATAAATATTTTTATACAAATTTCTATTTGTCGATGAATTCAAACACGGAATCAACGTTCTTCGTTAACACTAGGTTTACGAGACGCATTTCTAATTTTTTTTAGGAAAATTACAAAAACCGTTCGCATTTTTATTTTATCTCTCGCACCGACTTTTATCCATTGAACGAGGTAAATATATATTGAAGTCTATTTTCTTTAAAAGCTTTGTATATAAGAAATGTCCGTAAACCTAGTGTTAAACGACTGATTATGGTGCAAGATGAAAGGCAGTGTTTTAATTGCAGTGATATAATGTCTAAGCTTTAAAGGAGTCCAAGAAAGTTTCAGCAGTGAATTTATGAGAAGGATGTTTACAAGGTACTAGAAATCCGAGCGTACTTGTAAGACTAGCTCAAGTAGACTCAACGCGTTTCTTTTCGCTTGCGAGCAATAAATTTTCTTCGGTGTGCTTCTCGAGCACGGTTACGTTTCAGTCATGTAAAGTTTCCAGTTGAAGAAGACACTGTAAACTTTCGAACAGCTACTTGTCCCGTGAAAAATTTGTTCCTCGGTCGCTGGCTGTTTTTATTTGATGCGCCAGAGTCGCAAACTATTGACCGCCGGTTGACGAAGTTAGCGATATTGAAACGATCTAAGAAAGCCAATAACACGTCGCAAGAAAATATTTGCCGTCAAAGAAACTTTCGAAATTAATGAAATCAGAAGGTATCTGAAACTATAGGAATACTTGAGGTTATTTAAAAATTTTTATCTATCGTCATTTATCAGGTATTTGTTAATCCACAATTTGATAAAGTGCTCGAGTTTATCTGCAAAATCAATCATGACCAAAATTGTAGAAAATTTCAGTTATTTACTCGTATAATTATTTTAGCATTTCATGTCTTTAATAAAATGTACGTTTAATTAATTTCAAACAAACGGTACATATTTCGAACAAAAAAGAGCCATTGAACCAAATTTTCGCCAGAATATTTGACTGTCCTCCACGCGTTTGAATAAAAGAAATTGCGAACGACAAGAGAGAATAACTATAAACGTCATAATAAAACATAACTGGTTTCCATCCGGGCAGAAAAGACCAAACGCTTTTCATTATTCTGGAAATAGCGAAACTCGAGCCGTGTGTAAAATGGCCCACGCATTTAAATGAAGCACCGTCAGTGCTTGATGAAAACAAAGGTGGCAAGTTTGAAGTTTCAGTCTGACTAACTAGTGGATGTACCGGACGGATTTAAAGTTGAAGGAAAAAAGAGAAGTAAAGAGCAAACTGCTCAGTCATTAAGGGGATTACTCGGAGGAAGAATATGCCTTGAATTTGCACAAAAAGTCCTGCTTGTGGCTGACACGGGAAACTCGTACAAGTTCGAGATTCAGTGTGGTCAGTTAAGAAACTTGTTGGGAAACCGTGTTTGTTGCCCTTACTTCTGTAAATCTGATGCTGGGTTACATTAAATTATATGGGGTATTATTAAATTGTGTAATTTTGTACTGTGTATTATATTAAATTGTGTGATTTAGTGCAGTGTGTTATATTAAATTGTATGATTACAGTGGTAATTGTACGATGGAATATTAGGTGGACATATTGGAAGATTCAGATATGTTACACAGAGAATTTACTAATATGTAGACGGTGTGTGGAACACGTCAAAAATGTTAAGAAATTTATGGATGATTAAAAAATTGAATAAAGAAGTAGATAGCGCGGTTACGCTTGCTAGATATTTGTTATTTAAATAACACTTATGATTGTATTTTTCAAAGTGATAGAAATTGAAGAAATTAGATATGTTTCATTGTACCTTTAGATCCTATAAAAAAATCAAGAACATGTAAATATTGGTCAAGTCAATTCAGCTGAAGCTAATCGTATAATATTACAAAGCAAATTCAAGCTTAACTATACTCCTGTCTTAATTACGCATCATCCCTGACATTATATTAATTATACAGACGTCAAGAGATATTTGAAGAGAAATTCAATGTGAGTTCTACTTGTAATTAATCACTCTTGACATAAATATTAATTAAATGTAAACAAAGAAAATATCTGCAGAAAATTTTAATATTAATTCTATTTCTGTCTTAATTAATTATCCTCTTTAACATATGAATAGTTTAACATAGTTCATCAGTAGTGTGAAGAAATAAACGGTCAGCTAAGTAAAGTAGATAACGAAGCCGACAAGTTCTGTAGAACAAGTGGGTTAGGTGGCCAGACAGGAATGTAGGATTACTGTCTGGCCAAACAAATGAAGTGGAAATGGTACGTAGTCGGATAAGTAGAAGGACACAGATGTTCATTGCAAAAGAGGTAATGTTTGAAGAATAATACGCTGTAGATGGTTAGACAAGTGGTTTGAGCAGGTGATCGGTCAGACAAGTACAGTGTAAATATGGAAAGATATGTAGATGCGTCTCTTTGGAGATGATACCATTAGTACCATTAATTAGGTGGTGAAATAAGTGAAATTGGTGGTCAAATAATTGTTGAATGTGTTGGAAGTCTGGGAGAGCCAGTTTGTGGTCAGACAAGTAAAATAAGAATTTTGATGATCAGACAAGTAGATTGAGGAGGTTAATGGTCAGACAAATAAACTGAGGAGGTTGATGATCAGACAAGTAGAGTAAGAACGTTAATGGCCAGACAAGTAGAATAGGGATACGTTAATGATCAAACAAGTAGAATAAGAATGTTGATGATTTGACAAGTAAAATAAGAACGTTAATGACCAGGCAAGTAGAATAAGAACGTTAATGACCAGCCAAGTAGAATAGGCGAACGTTAATGATCAGACAAGTGGAATAAGAACATTAATGATCAGACAAGTAGAATAGGGATACGTTGCTGATCAGACAAGTAGAATAAGAACATTGACAGTCAGACAAGTAGAATAAGAATATTAATGACCACACAACACCACCACAAATAAAATAAGACCTACAAGTGTACATATTACATGCTAAAATAAGTAGAATAAATCTATGGAACACAGAATAGGTGGAATTGATAGTCAAATAAGGAAGGCAGTTAATTGTTGGATTAACTAAGTAGAACTAACATTTGACCAGCCAAACTAGAACCATACGTACTTGAATAATTATGCTTGGCTCAGATTGGCTTAGATATTCTTACCGAAAGATAAATACTTTCAGATGTAGATGGTAGAATAATAGATTTGTTTTCTTAATATAATGAACCTTGAAACTTAGTACTTCAGAAGTGTCTGGTTGAAAATGGAAGTTGTAGATATTCAGTTGAAAAATGACACTTGCTCAGTTGAAAATCTTTCTTAGCAAAACTTGTTTTAAACTTTGTATAACATTGTTGTAGTCTACATTAATTTTCGTTAAGGTTATTACCATTTGTCATTATCAAATATTAATTTTTATTAAAATTTGTATTTATAATTTGTTAAATTACAACCTAACTTTGTGGTATCTAAAAATATACGAAAATGGAGTCACATACGAAAATTTAATTTTCTCGGTAAGAAGTGTCATTTTTCAGTTGATTTAATAAAGAAGTAAAAATGGTAATTACTTTTCCCAAGAAATAGACTGTCGTGATATATCCCATCACCACGATGACGAGAAAAGACCATATGGCCCTTTTGGTCCACAGCTTCGAAATTCCAATTTTCTTGCCTTCGATAACGAAGTATTGCATACCTATATAGCGATACAAATAAAAATACTACCGATAGATCAAACAGTAAACGGATACGCGAGAAAAACGTTGATATATGGTAATGCCGTGTTGCGATATGTAATTTCATTTTCGTAGCGAGCAAACTCACCTAAAAGGCATACCGTTACCAAACCCATCGTAACGACGGAAAGTAATGTGAAGATAAGCAAATCTGACTGTATGTTTCTACGATTCCTGGGATGGGTAATCCATATTCTCAACGATTCTGGCCTGAAGGTTCCCATAAAAGTGATCACTATGCAAGTCGAAAACAAGTTGAATTTGCGTTGCTTTCGCAATGAAATCGATTTGCTTTTTCACGAATTATCGAATGCCATAAATCAGTAAAAAATATTCAAGAATTTTTTATAAGATCACGTTTCTCAAAGTTATATTATTTTCTCGTAATATATTCTTTTTATAAAATCACTGATTCGCAATAGAAATGAGAAAGCAAAACTAGTTAAGTGAAGCGATTAAACGTTACTTACAATCCATAACGGGGTGTTTCGATAACGTTGAAATGATAACGACATAATTCGCAGTAAGAACGAGACGATTGATTCAACCATCTTTCTAAGCAGGCCAAATGCACGTACGCCAATGATCCTTTGCATCTGAAATAATTATGATTACAGTCGTAATTATAGTAGTGATAGGGGGGTTTAGAGGTCTATTATTATAGAGATTTAAAGATGCAGAGATTTTCGAACATAGGGAAAATAAAAGAGTAGAGGATTATTGGGATTTGAGGATGAAGGGAGTTGAGGACGTAGAGATTTGGGGATGCAAGGATTTGGTGATGTAGGGGTTTGGAGATGTAAGGATTTAGGAATGTAGAGATTTACATTCATGTAGAGTATTTAGAGACGTAGGCGGGAATATAGCCATTCACATTTTTCAATCTTTAATCCCTAAATTTCTGTATTCCATGATTTTCAAAATCCTCAAGTTATCAACGACAACCAAAGCTCAATTTACCAAATTGAGTTCCAAAACTTGGACCACTATAATCAGACAAGTGATTGTTCGATCACTTTCCTTAGTCATCAAAATGAACCTTACAATGGCTATTGTATCCCTTCATTTTCAATTTTTGTATACGATAATGAAACACATTTAACAATACCCGATACAATTATGCATTCATCGGAGAACATGAAAATTCAGAACTGAAAGTCAAACAGAAAGGACTGATATGAAGATTGATAAGAAAAGATCAATCTAGTTGCTTCTATTATCCACTTTCTTTTTATTTCAACATTTTACAGACCTTCACTCAATATTTTCTTCATTATCCAGGACAATATCCGAAGGAAGAATCGCAAAATGAAGCAATGAAGATTAATAGAGAAAAGTCGGCTCGATCCCTCCCGAAGTATATCCTTCGCAGCCATTTAACAAATGAACGTCGAAAATAGATTGGTCCATTTTGCAAAACGATTTCATCGTCACGTTTCCCGCTGAATCGGAGATCGATTCAATCTTGCGTCTTACGAACGAGTCGAAATTCGTGTTATAAAAGTGTTGGTGCATACATCACCAGACGGAACCAGTTCGATCTTATTTCCTTCGAGGTATTCAGGTTCGTTATATTTCATACTAACGCTCGGATAAGAAGGGAAGTTGCGCAACTTTTAGAATTACGAGGACAGCCGAGATTTCCATTCGACTTCTTACATCTTTCACGCGGTTCTCACGTTCTTGTTTGTTTGCCTTTTTTCCCTCCATTTTCACCGGATAGAAAATCGTTCTGCTAAAGCACTTTTAACTTATTCAACCATCTTTCCCAAACTGCTTATCCGTTCGCACTTTTCTGACCCTTGCCTTTAGCCTACTGCCAATTTAATGGCTATCTCTGTCGTATTTACTGCATTATATTTGCAACTACAGTGGAGGACGAAAGTATTCGCACACTTAATTATTGCTATAATTATTTTGAAATTTTTTTAGTTTACTTTGCTTATTACCATTACTTTGGTTTCTTCCTCGCAATTTTATTGTTATGTCTAGCCCGATCTTCGAACTTTTTTAGGGTGAACTTCCTTCAGCGTATATTCTTTAAAGTGTGATGCAGTTTCAGATGCACTGGTATCTGGTTTTTCTTTAATAGTTTGGACTTCCCTCACAGTTAATTTTCGGGGTCTACCGGTTCTTTATTCCACAATATTCCTTCTTTTTTATACTTGTTTATAATACTTTGTACAGTCGATCGACTTTTTAGTATTTCTGATATATTTCTATATGATTTACCTTCTTCATGTAACCATATAACAATTTTTCTTTCTTCCAATGTTGTTTCTTTGCATTTCTCCCCATATTGCAAATATTAGTGTCAAAGTGTACTCGCCACGATTACTACTGACTAAACTAACATAACATCTACTAATGTAGTGGTTACATTGATCAGAATATCCTGATGCCATCGCAACTGTTGTATTTATTAATATAAATGATAATATACGAATACTTTTGTCCCGACGATTTCTTACGGCCTCGTGAATTTCAAGTCATTTCAAGTTACTACATGATATTGCCTTCAGTTTTGGGTCATTTGTTGCTGTAAGTGTTACGTATAATATACAGCTATACATGATTAAATATACTTAATAACATAGAAAATATTGTTGCTTTTGTTTCTAAATTTGAAGTGTACGAATACTTTTGTCCTTCACTGTAGTTTTAAATTGCATTGCAATATACAATTTTTGCAAATTCCATATAAATTTCATCTTTTCAAATGAATTGATCAGTTCATTCCTCAGTTCTGTTTCAGCAAACATTTCATATAATTTCTCAGAGACCATTGAAATTACAAAGACAATGTAATGTGTTCTGTATAAAGTCTCTGTTTGCAACTCCATAAAAGCATCCTATCCTAACCTCATCAACGAACAATTGTAACTTTACATACGGTTGTAAACTACATGTAAACAACCAATGTCTAAAGGAAGAATGGCTCAGTCTCTTTACATGTCCTATCGCAGTTGTGTTTGAAAGACACTTTGAGTGCACTGTCAAACATTGTCTACGCCTGAAACGAGAGTCTCGAGTGTAAAAAGGGTTAACATTACTCCCGTGGCGGCAGCTGTTAAAATTATACCGTTTTGCAGTCAGTGAGTCGCATCGTATTCAAGTTTCTCAGACGTGTGTTTGCCTACTTCAGCAGGTTAAGACGTGGCTTTTAGCGAGCTCAAAGACCCCACGAGAAACGTTGAATAAGCTGAATTGAAGTGAAGTCTACAAAATTTATACTTCCCAACTGTGTTCGGTTAGACCTTTGACGCAAAAATGCATCGCAAGCACTTCCACTTTATCTGTACGGTATACCTTGCCGGCAATTCATAAAACAATCGTTTTGAGAGTTTCTCAAATTCAACGATTTTCGATCATTTATAATTGTCTCAGAGGTTTCTTCAAAAATGAAAGGTCTTAGAATGCCTACTACATAAGGTTACAAGTTTTTATTCGCTCATTCGAATACTAACGATTTTTCTCTGAAAATCTACACTTTTTCAGTTTTTATGTTTCAAGCTTTTAGTATTGTTAACTTTCATATTTGATATTAACAGTAAAATTTTTAGAGTGAAATGAAAGATAATTTTATAATTTAAAAAAATGAGATAATGTAAACTTTGTGAGTAACGTAAATATAAACGAAAGATGAGAATTTAAGGAAATAGAGAATTTGAAAATATAATGCAGTGAATTCATACAGAAACAAAAGTTAATTAAGTAGAAAGTTTGTATAAAACGTTTCGTTCAAATAATTTAGAGTGCATTATGGGGTGAATGGAATGCACTATTTGACTTGCACAGAATTTCGTTCAATCAGAGTTGTATAGAAAGCGTGAAATTGAAAAATTTAAGAGAATACTGTTTCGTTATAACAGAGAATCGCGCTAACCTTTTAATGTAGTGAATATTGCAAGAAATGAAATATTCATGCTATTGGAAATCATTGATTGGAACGTGTGGTGATGAACCGTTTGATTTATGCTGTGTACCATGCATTTGTTTGAACACGAATTTTTGTGTTTTGCTTATTACAAATGCATGGCAATGTGAAATGAATAATTTGAATGGTTAAATAGAGGGGAATTATGAGATTGACAGTTAATTTTTTTAAATGAAATGACTGAAAATGTTGTTGGACTATTAAACTACTTGACTGTTTGCTTATATGATTAGATGAATGATTAATGATTTGAATATTTCACAATTTTGGGACTCTGATGTTTGACAACTTTTCAACTTAACAAGTTTTCAAGTTGACAACTTTTCAATTTGACAACTCTTCGACTTGACAGCTCTTCGACTTGACAGCTCTTCGACTTGACAGTTCTTCGACTTGACAGCTCTTCGACTTGACAGCTCTTCGATTTGACAGCTCTCCGACTTGACAGCTCTTCGACTTGACAGCTCTTCGACTTGACAGCTCTTCGACTTGACAGCTCTTCCACTTGACAGCTCTTCCACTTGACAGCTCTTCGACTTGACAGCACTTCGATTTGACAGCTCTTCGACCTGATAACCTTTTAACTTGACAACCTTTTAACTTGTTAACTTTTCAACTTGACAACTTCTTCATTTGATAACTTTTCAACTTGACACCTTTTCAACTTCACAACCTTCCAACTTGATATCCTTTCACCATAACAACGTTAAAAGCAAAATCCTTTTAAATTTCGCTGATCTCATCCACTTTTTCATTTCCTCTGATTGCAATTTAAATAATAACCTTTCCACTTCCACGTTCAGTGTAACTGAATTTCTCACTACGCCATAAAAATCTAGGAGATAAATCAGTGTTCTACCTCTTTTTCCCGGTATTGTCTGATTTTCAACGACTCGAACACTGAAATCTCTGCAATATTGTCCGGCGTGGAACGTTCCCCTCGTCACGCTTCGTCGCGCTTTTCAATACATAAGCAAAAGTTCGCTCTTGCCTCCTTCAATTATTCCGCTTCTCGGAAACTGAATTGCACCGGGTCCACTTTCTAAATATCCATCGCGATTCATCAAGTTGGTTCGCTCGTCGCTATTCATCGAGAAATAGTCAAATAAAATTTCGAGCCAAAAACGTTGCGATTCAACGACGCGAACATTTCTGGCTTTCAATTTTCTGATCTGACGTCAAATTTGCTACTTTGCCTCGGTCGAATACGTTTTTCTCGCATTTTTACGGGACTTTGGGCATAATTTTAATATTGGTATTTGACGTGGTATTTGATCATGCTTTGGTGTTATGGAATATATTATAATTTGATATTTGGAGATAATTTTAAAGATATAGTATGTTTAATCATAGTTCTTTTGTTGAATCAAATAAATTTGGGATATATCTTATTTCGTAATATGAGTTTGTTCAATTTTATCAAAATTTAGTAAAATATGAACACAGACTTTTTAAATAAAGTGTTCGTAGGATTAACGTTGAAATAATGGCCAAAGTCATGTGTGATAATAAATGAAGAGAAAATTGAATTTCATTCAGGGATGATGAAAATACATTCCTCAGAATGTTATTAAAATTTTGTATGATAATATTATATATTGAATTTTTTCAGTTAAATTTAAAATGCATAATAAATGTATAATACTGAAATATTGGAATAAAGGTATGGGGTTCAATGTACATATTTGTTCAAATGAATTTCGAATGAATTTGTTTTATAATTTGTTTAATAATTTATTTTAAATTTATTTTAAACAGCAATGACAGTGATTTAACTCTTATTTGGGTTACATAATGAGATCATTTAAAATACAAAAATTGAACGTATTATTTTTTTGTCTCATTTCAATAATCAAATTAATTGAATTCATAGTACATTCATTATTGAAATAATTATATTCATTGCATTAGTAGTGCAATATAATAATTATATTCATTGTATTACTACTGCAACATTATTCCAATAATTACATCAATTGTATTCATAGTCCAGAAATTGAACGAGTAATATTAGCGACATATTCATAGAATTCCAGGAGGAATACGTCAATAAAGTATAACTCCCATAAAATGATTCGAACGATTAAAAAACGTAGAGAATCCTGGTTAAAATTCCTTGCAGTGGCAGAAGGAGCTCGAAAGAACATAACCTATTACCGAGTTCATTTTCTGCGCCATTACAATTGATCAAACGCGTCCAAGGAAGATTTTCTTGAAATTAATGGATAGCACGTGCTCGGTGTTCGTCTGATCCAATTCTAATCTGTATGTAGCCAGGATCAAACGTAGCCAATCCACGTGGAATCCATCGAAACCAAACTAATCGCGATGATGAATTGCGTAACCGATCGCAATCGAGACACGTGTACTGCTGCGGTTAACGTAACCGAGTAATGACATTTCCTTTCTTTCTCGATCGAACATTAATGCTTCTATTTTCCATTTTCACGTTTAAATTCTTAGTTCGTTAAAATCTTGTGATTTCTCAAAATTATGTTGTTAGATCTCCATTTTCAAATTGAGGTTGATTTGATGTCCTCAGGTTGACAAAAAGTTAGGTCTTCGAATATAACAAATAATAAATCCCACTGTCCAATCATCACAATCATAGTCTAATTTTCACCAAACAATTTTCATCATAAAGTACATTATTTTTAATGTAATATTGGTACAAGATGAATGTAAGTAACTAATGACATGAACTTAGCAAATATTTGAAATGTTGTAACTATTTGATGTGGTTTGAAATTATATCATTTAATATCAGTTGTTCCAAATTATTTGACTAATTAAAATTATTTCAGGTCATTTCATTATTGAAATTGGGTCTTGTTTAAAAAATTGCTTGAAATTATTGTTTGTCTAAATATTTGAAATGATTTTAAATTATTTCACCAAGTATGTGAAATGATTTGAAATGATGTGACTAAATCATATGAAATGATTTGAACCGATGTGACTAATTATTAAAAGCGAATTCACGATAAAATTACGTCAGCAGAATGTTGCACACGTATCGAAAAGCAATTTCGAGAAACGTCAGTGGCGTTCATTGTCTAAATCATGAAAGGGGTCATAAATAGCTATCCAGCATTGTGTATCCCACACTTCCTGGAACGAGTGAACCCACAGCTTTTGACACCTTGTTAAATGCATGACGCTGGTCCGCTATGCAGGACCGTGGAAGCCATATAGAAAGAGGTGAAAAGAAATGGGTCACGCGATACGCGTGTCGTTTCGCGAGAATTCTCACGAGGATCTACTGAATTAAGTTCGCGGATGGCGTAGAAGTAAAAGGGGAACGGGAACATAGAAATAAACGGGCGGGAAAAAAGAAAGGAGCGACGGAGTCAGCGTGAAT